AAATAATATTTAAGTTAATTCTATAAAATAAATATCCAACTATTTTTCTATTTTATAATGTTAAGTGTTGTATTTTAATAAGCATCTAGAACCAAAATATTTGGTGCCAAAACAATGTTAGATAATTCAATTTACAAAAGATGTTACTTAAATTTTTAACACTCCATTACAGCTCAATAATATACTTCTAGTTGCCGTTTGTCTTATACTATAGTCTATAATACACTTCAGTGGCTTAGCTTCAGTAGTAGGATTTACTATGGCAAGTGTCAACAGCCAATCTCCCAACATTTTTTATGAAAATAAAAATAATAAGGATACAAGTGAGTTTACATTGAGTATTTTGAATTTTGAATCACAAATCTAAAGTAGAATATTATGTTCATGCTATTGCCTATTAGGTATCTAAATTAATAGGTATACTTGTAATATGTAATAATATATACTAATAAGATTTTAACGTTCACACAATTGTACGTTATTTAAGTGATATCCATTACGATTCACATAGTATATGTACCTATTCAATACCTACGTTGGTTGTCATTCAGATTCAAATTGGTTGAAGAAGGTATACACTATACACGTATACATTCAATAAATAATTATATTTTTAATTTATTATTCATACTTCATAAATAGGTAATTAAATACCTACATTAGCTACTCATTACAAATTTTGGTGAAAAATGCATGTTTTTTTAGAAACTAAACCCAATCATGAAATATTTTAAGTTGGTTTATTCAAGCAACAACCTTGCTTATCTAGTACCTATACTGTTGGTTGGGATACAGGTAAAGTGAACTAACTTTTGTTTTCAAATTAATCACATACAAATGACACTTTAAGACTACCTATACAGGGTGTCTCAAACAGTACTGACATATGGAATAACTTTTTTGGTATTCGATATTTTTTTTTTTTTGTTTTTTTTGTTTTATTTGTAGACGCTTGCGCTACATGTTTTATATAAAAAAAAATTTTTACTTTTTTAATTCTGAAAATAAAAAATTTTAAATTTTATAAAAAATGTATTTGAAAAATTCAAAATAGCCAATTTATAAAGCCGATTTTTAGAAAAATTTTGATGGTTCAAATATTTATAAAAGTGTTGCCGTTAATTTTCTACAAATTATTTAGTTTTTGGAAATATGAACAATTTTTTCCTTTATATCATAATAAAATAATCAACAATCATCAGTCATCACTGATACCTGATTAGACGTAGTAATCACTATTTATTTTCCTAAGAGTTTTTATCAGTTATCACCATTTACACCGGCAGCTAATGCACGAGCGCTTCCCCGCAGTAAGGCATTTGGCTGGCTTATCATAATATAATAACGTTATCATAGAGTTAATCTGCGGCAACAGTTAAATTTTTTCTGATCCTATCTAAAAATAATAATTATAATAAAATTGGTTAGGTTTCCGGAAACTTCAAAAGTTATGGCAATTCAAAGTTGTCAATATTAAAAAATATAGGTACTTTTGAATGGACGAGCGAGTGACCACGCTGGGAATAAAATATACTTAGAAACAATATTGAGGAAAACCGAGGTTTACCTGAGGTAGTTCACACAGCAAATAGGGGGATATTTTTGATTTGCGGAGCGGAGCGACGGCGCCGAGGAGCGTAGCGACGAGTGCCGATACACGCGTAATCGCTGCAACTTTGATATGCCATAACTTGTGAGAACAGTGAGTTTCCGGAAATTTTTGTAACTGGGAAACGGTGTAGCTGGTGGTACGCAAATTTAAAAAGTTTGAGAACCGCTGATCTAATGCCCTGTTCACACGATCAAATAATTTGTCAAATATTTGACATTCGTCAAACTCCAAATATTTTAGAACCATTTCTAAAATATTTGAAGTTTGACATACATCAAATATTTGACAAATTATTTGATCGTGTGAACGGGGCTTAAAGAAACTAAAAATTATACAATACAAACTATTACAAATAATACATTTCTATGTATCAAAATTAGAAAATTCTGAATTTTACATATATTTATATTTTTTTTAATTCTATGTTAACGTTATTATTTGATAAGCCAGCCAAATGCCTTACTGCGGGGAAGCGCTCGTGCTAATGCACAGAAATAGATAAGAGCATTACTGAGATAATACAATTACTGGTTAGGTTATAGTAAAAAAAAAACTTTTATGTTACTACGTTTAAAAAGGTTTAATAGAATTAATAACAATAATACAATAATGACATACATGCATCAACAATATTTAGTTCAGTAATCAGTTAATTCAGTTGCTACCTAATATCTATTTTAAATAATTTTCAAAATGCCCACCATCGTTTTCTGTACGTTTTTCATATCGCTCTAATATTGACGATGTGACCGACTTTAACATTTGTGATGTGACTTTTTTACATGCTTTAGTGATGCGCTCTTTTAAATCATTCAGAGAAGTCGACTGTTCTGAATAAACGTTATCTTTTAAGTAACCCCATAAAAAAAAATCGAAAGGAGTTAAATCAGGAGATCGTGGAGGCCATTCCAGTGGACCACGGGTACCTAACCAACTTTGTTTAGTACTGTTTGAGACACCCTGTATACCTAATACCTATATGAGTTGTTAATAGGTCTATAGTTAATACTGATTACTGAATAATCAATCTGCTTTTTTGGTGCATTTTATTCATTGAGTTTCCATTAGCTTGTCGATTATTGAAGTTCATTATCTTTATCGTTTGTAGTTGCAATCAACTGTCATTTAATCAACTGTACGCAGATACTATTTTAGGTCCGGTCAATCAGAAAAAATGTCCCAAAAGTCTATCAACTTATTTGAAATTGCAAAAAAAATATAATATTGAAGGGTGAATCGAGAGTAAACATTTTTAAAGCACTTATATATATTACGAATTACGATGACGTATGAATTGTATAAAACGTACATTTTTAAAAAATGTTAAGTTATTATAAAGTAATTTTTGGTATTTTTGAGGTCATTTATTAGTCATTTTAACATTTTTTTTCGTGTGCATTTTTTAAAGATTTTTAGGTTATTAATAGGGCTGGGATTTATATGTAATAAAAAACCAAAAATATGTACATATATGTAATTAAAATTGCCAAAATATGTAGTATAAAATAAAAAATATGTGGTATAAAATAAAAATTATGTACTAAGAAAAATTTAAAAAATACCTATGTTAAAGTTTTAAATAAAAATACAATTCTAAATAATTTTTGATCATAATTGAAATACAATAAATTGATGTTTATTCAATTCTAAGGGAAACAATGACAAACCATATATTGTTTTAAATTTTCAAAATTAAATGTACGGCGATTTGGTCTTAACACTGACCTATACCTACTAAAGGAGCGTTCCACATCACAAGATGTTATCGAAGCATACTTCATGGCTGTTATTTCACTAGGTGAAAGATTGAGCTCCGTCGTGTCTTCAACCGCAATACCACAAAGAATGTTTCTTATACATTTAATGGTCTTCAGTCCCGAATTTTTGTTTAAAACGACGTTCATTTTATTCTTTAATAATTCTGCTGTTGGGCCCTCTGATTCATTAAATTTTGAAATTGATAAATCAATAACTTGTATGCTTTCACTCAACGGAATCTTGGTGTTTTCTAATTTTGAAATTGATTCACCCAAAAAAACTAAAATTAGACACAATATATGATTGATCAGACTTTATATTAGGTCTCTCAAAAATTTCTTTACCCTTGGAAATTGATGCTGCATGTTCAGAATCCAACATAGATACTATATTTTTAATTTCATCATACAATTTGGAATAATAGTTTAACGCTTGTAACCATGTCCCCCACCTTGTTATAATTGGCTGTGGAGGAAGCGGGATGTTTGGGTAGTTATTTTTGAATATTACTAAACCACTGAAATTGTCAAAATTTACGAAGTATGTAAATAAAAACGAAAATTTTACTAAGTATGTAAAAATATGTACCTATTTATGACGAAATATGTAAAAATATGTAAAATAAAATATGTCTTATTTTATTGCAAATCACGTGAAACGAATTTATCATTTGCAATAATTAATTTATCGTGTTTCACTAAAAATATGTATTTACATACAAATCCCAGCCCTAGTTATTAATAACCAGGCCCTATTTAAAACCATAAAGAATCACGAGAATTATTGCACAAAACTTAAGGGCCCTTTTAATGTAAAATAATATTACAATTCAAAACAATATCAATCGTAGAAAAAGATTAAAATACATCAATTATCAGCTGAAGATTTTCAAAAATGAATATAATTTCTTAAATGTTTGATGACGTATGCCGTACCTATGCGATTATCATGCGCTTTGTCACCGACTTTTCACCATTGAACTATATGTTATCATATGTTATCATATAGTTCAATGCTTTTTACCAGTCGACAAATAGTAAATAGTCGAATGTTTTTCGTTCGGGTTCGACTAAAGTCATATATCTTTTCAAGAATACCAAATATTTATTTTCATGCGATAAAATTTTTCTCGCATGCCACAACTTTTATCACGATTTCAAGAATCGCCACAGTATAAATCACGGAAAATATCTTTTAAGACCGTGGTATAAATTGACAAGAGTCTTTACCATGCCAAAATAGATAATATCTCTAATCTTCATGATAATATCTATTATCAATATCTATTAATCTAAATTAACAAAAAAATAATATTAATATTATAATATCCTGAAAATAAAAGCATATTGCATAATCACAACTTATATACTAGTAACTAGTTACTTATAAAGTTATAAAGTTAATTATTATTGGCAATAATAAACCAGTGATGCACACAGAACCATGATTTTGACTACTTTAATCAAGAAACAATCGTTAATTTTATATTTCTACAATTCTACCAGTTAACATTTTTATTCGAAGGTAATATTATTGGTTTTATCTTAGTTACATTTGGATAATATTTCTGTTCATTTTTCAATAATTCAAAATATAATTTTTCAGTTTGTCTAGCGATTGTCTTGATAACATGTCGTCCGAAAGCTGCAAGAAATTTGAATGTGATGAGTGTATGAAAACATTCTCAAAAAAGAATAATTTAAACGATCATATTTTAGCAAAACATTCTAACACAAAAAAATATGTTTGTTCGATTTGTAAAAAATCATTTTCTTACAAACAGTCATTCAACAGGCATATGAATGTTCATAAAGTAGCAACTTCTGTTTACTCGTGTTCAGAATGTGGCTATAGTTCTCAGTTAAAATTCATGCTGACACGGCACATTAAGAGTGTCCATCTGAATAAAAACGACAGTCTTTCTAAAATATCCTGTGTGTTTTGCAATCACCGTTGTTCCAAAAGTAATTTATCCACTCATTATGTGCTCTGCCATCCAACAGAAATTGTTAGTGAACAATTAAAGTTTGATTGCTTAGATGAATTTTATGCATGGAAGTATGAGGTTGAAGATCAAGATATTAGTAGGTAAGTTATTTTATTTTAACCATCATATTAAATAATACACCTATTTTATTTGAAATAATATTATGATTAGGTATAATTATAATGTATTTATATTATTATGTTATAGGTTTGTTAAAGCTCGTACAACATATGTTGGTATATCTGGTTCTAAACACTTATTTTTTAAATGTCACCGTGATGGAAAATACAAGCCTAAAGGCAATAACATTAGAAAATTAAAGTCATTAGGTACCAATAAAATTGGTTCCTATTGTCCAGCTAGAATGGATGTAATGGTTGAAGGCAACGAAGTTAGTGTACTTTATATTAAAACACATATTGGTCATGATTTAGAACCAAAACGTTTAACTCTAGCCAAAAATGAAAAAGATTTCCTCGCTGAACAATTAACAATGCCTAATACTAATTACAATGATATTTTAAATGTTGTTAAAACCTTAAATTCAACAAGTCGTTTACATCATTTAACAAGAAAAGATTTAGTTACAATTAATAGTTCTATAAAAGAGGCTGCAAGAAGAAATAATACCATAATTAAAACCAATGATAAACTAGATGATACAGTAGAAATAAACAATGTTTTTGATGGTGATTTGGTAGATTTATTTAATGACCAAAATCACAAAAAGTCGCCACTTGCATTAAATTCAGAGAATGATTGTATGGGATCTGATAAACAAGATATTGTTGATGTAAATAATACTTTGTTGACTTCAGATCATTTAGAATTAAAAAATAGTTATACAAATAAAATTCAACCTTTATATGAATTAAATGTTGAACAACAAATAATTGAATCAAATGAACAAATACCAATTTTAGAATTCAATGATGAAGTAAGTAAATTTTACTTTAGTCCTATGTAAAAACATTTATATGTATTAATCTTGATCAGTAGCGCCGAATAAAATTAAAACCGGCAGTTCAAATAGTTTGATTGAACCACCCCCCCTTCAAACGACTGCGAGACTGGCTCTACTAATTATGTATAAATAATTTAATGACGTATCTGTGTTCAATATAACTGTATCAGAAATACTAACAAGTTTGCTCTATTATTTTACCCAATACCCACCCACGGCAACCCATTATTAAGGCAGTTCAATTTAACTACTTGAAGTACATTTTTGGTGCCACTGGTCAAAAGTAAAATATAAAATCATTTAAATTTCTTACACATTTTAATTTTCAAAGAAAATATATCCCATCAGTTTAATACTATTGATGAGAAAATCATCTATTACAAAAATTATAGAGGATAATATTGTGAGGGTACCTTTGACATAACGGTTTTATATTTTATTATTATTTGACTTTCAGAATAAAAAAAAAAATTGCAAATCTAAGTATTGTTTTAAGAAAATATTAGGAAAAATTCATGTGCCATAATCTCAAAAATATTTTTCTCTATCGTTTTTGTAATGGGTGATTTTACTCTAAGATAACAAAAACAAAAAAAAAAAGATTCTGCGTAACCGTGTTTTGTCTGTTGCTTGTTAACCAGAGAAATAAAACAAACAGTTCACTGACATAATTTTGATTGTTTTTACTAAGATATTCAGTCTGTTTGAGTTAGTTACATAATATATTATAATATAATCTATTAATTAATACATTAAACATAACAATGTAAAACAAAGAAGAGGTAATCCTATGATTACACTATATAATATTAATTAACTACTTACCTAAAGTTTAGGTTGGAATTTAGATAAGATTAATATTAAAGAAATAAATGTTTCAATTACATCTTAAATTTATTATAGATATTGGAAGGCAATCAAGTTATAGATTACCAACAACAATTGACAAATATTGAAAATGAGAGGATCAGTATAATGGAAAAAATGAAGTTGATAGTCAATCAAATTACATGCAATGATGAGTTTGCCATTGTTCATCAAGGGCTAATGAACATAATGAGTACAATTGATGAAAGAAGGAATGCAATCGATCAAGCAGTAGTCAATGGAGATTTAGACAATATAATGATATTTGATGAAAGTATTTTACAAAAACAATGCCAGTAACAGTAGGTAATGTAATTAAAATAAAATCACTGTTACATATACCTTGTCCTTTAGTACAGTATTAAAATTTTAAGTCATTCTATTTTTAATTGTGATTTTTATAAACAAATTCCCAAGTAGTAGGTAGTACCATAGACCTATAAACTAATGGACAGCGCTTAGAGAGAGAAGTGAAGGATACAATATAGAGTGAGTGAGATAAGAAACAAAGTAAAATGTATACAGTTCCTTTTACAAGATCCTTCACTACTTTATATTCTTTCTCTCTCAGTTAACCATATGATTATATGATCGCCTAGCATTGATGGCAGGGCGGAGTGGAATGGACTGTCCGTTTGTTTATAGGTCTATGGGTAGTACTAATATCTTAAGTTATAACTAAAGACCGGATTTATATTCTCTTAAAATATCTAAAATATGATGCTAATATTCTCTTAAAATTTTTAAAAATATGCAAATATAATCAATAAACATCATTATATGCTTAAATACATATTTAAAAAAAAATTTTTTCAACATTATTTTAATGGTGAGGTATTAATTAGGTATTAAAGTTGCGTATTCTAATGGAATACTTTTGTACTTTAGTAAGAGTTTGAAATGATAAAAAAAAAAATTTTAATTGTTCAAAAATATTTTTCCTGGCTACCGTAATGTTAAAATTAAAAATAAATACAAATTTTTTCTCACAATTTACGAAATATTCCAAAATATGCTAAATCGGTTAAATATTCTCTAACCCATGAAATATTCTCAAATATGCAAAAATAACTTTTTTCTACGCATTCAGAATTGAATGAATTGTCCACATTTTTTACTCTCACAATACTGCATAGACCCAGTAACAATATAAAAACATATAAATCCGGTCTTTAGTTATAACCAATTCAACTGTAAATAATAAAATGCTATTATATTATAATATGTTACTCCAGCCACTTATAGCCAACATGAGTCAAACTCCTGTTACATAGTCTTATAAATGATACATAAATTGATTAGATAGGTATTTATTAATAAGCTAAGTAATAAAATATTTCAATAAATAAATTAAAACAAATAATTATGAACATTTTTAAAAAAGGTTGCATGTGTTTAAAATTAGGTATTTTTACAAATAAATGTACCTATATAAAATATATTAATTATTACATAGTGTTATATAATATGCCAATAGCTTCAGATATACACAAATAAACAAATGATTCATTTAAGCACTTTATTAAAGCCGGTGTTCAATTGATCACCACACAAAAACCTTTTTACTGTCCCATCTTATCTCTTTTATAACAATGATTTAAATAATTGTTATTAGTTAATCAATACTAAACTTACTAAGAGCAAAATTAGAAAAATTGTTATTACTGCGTAAATGTTTTCTAAACTTAGTTTTGAATTTTAATAATTTTGTGTATTTCTACCTAATTGAATATATCTATCATATATATATATCATAATATATCAATTAATGCTCAATACAATAAAAGAAATTTGTTTAATACCAATTTTAAACAATCCAACTAGTTTGACTTTGAGTACTGATTGATTTTTAAGTCTGAGAAGAAACAATAGTTTAAATAATGATTTTTATTTATCTTAGTAGTTAGTGTTAATACTTTATTAGCAGTAAAAGTGTTTAGTAAACCTAAAAGTTCAAAGTATTGAATCTATTTTCAATATTTCATGATATTATTAATAATCAATATCATTACTTTTAAATTTATTATCACAACTCAAATAGCCAATGACCAAGGTCTAAGTCAAATTAATGTAATATTTGGGTAGTTGGGTGGTGGTAGGGTTCATTTTTCATTTCAATTCCCAATTACCATTTTGAATTTTCCTATTCTATTATAATACGTGTATCACTATCACTATTATCAGTGCCATGAGAAGTATTAAAGATTTTGATAATAAAGGATTTTAAATTATTTGTATCAAAAACATTTCGTGAGATATTTTGTATTTCATAGTTTACAGCACTTTCCAGTGTAATATCTCTTATCAGTTATCAGCAAATTAATATTGATGTAATGATGTGTTATTTGTTTTTTGTATTTTGTTAGTTGTTACCTTGTCTCAATTTGTTTATCTGTATTATTTAAAATTTTTAATTCAACAAATTTTGAATTCAGCTTAATTAGATGTATTCTTATCGTGTTTTTTAGCACCTTTAAGATGCATTTAATTTATGATAATTCATCTACTGATTTCCTTTTATTTTGTAAACAAGTTAAAACACTTTTAAATTTTTGTATTTGCCACACGTTGCAATTATTAAATGAATAAATTCCAAATTTATATCGAATCTACACATTATATGACCATGCCGTTTCGTTTTAAAACTTTATTTAGTTCTTGCTTTTTAATACTGCCGTATTTTCTTTTCTCAATTGGAATTACATTTTACCAAAGATCATTTTTACAAGTATGAACAGCTGTTACTTAAGCTTTTTCTTAAATATAAATTGTATAGTTTGGTTGTTAATTTAATTTCAAATAAAATGTATAATATTTTTTTTATAGATGTTCCATTTTCCGCTGCTTGTTGTTTCGTGTCACTTGGTTTTAAAATTTCTTGCTTCGATTATTTTTCGGAACTTATATCATGCAATTATAAAAATTCCTTTTGTACAATTATCTTGGGACAGTAAAGTTACAAAATTTGCACCTATTGGAATTTCCAGTGGTATTGATGTTGGATTTTCAAATTGGGGCCTAGAACTTGTAAATGTTTCATTGTATGTATTATTAATTTTAAGCATTTACTCATTTATTTATCAATATATAAAAATGTCTGTTTCAGGTACACTATGACAAAATCAACGGCTATTATTTTTGTGTTAGTTAATGCTTTGATTTTACGTTTGGAGAAAGCAGTAAGTTAAAAATAATAATAATTCATTAGTATTTTTATTAAATACATTTTTTTCCTTTTATCAGTCAGTGGCACTTTTCTTTATTGTATTTTCAATCTCTGGAGGATTATTTTTGTTCACATTCAAAACCACAGATTTTAGTACATTAGGATTTATTTTATTACTAACTGCATCATTTGCCAGGTAATTATGGTAATTATTTATGTATTAAAATTAATCAAACCTGTTTCCATAATATATTTATTATGCATATCAGGTTCTTCTTAAATATATTGTTTTAGAATAATTTACTTTTTGACCCTATGTCTACTAGAAGTTTCTATCAGGTGTATTTGTAAAAATTAATCTATAATATTTTATTGATTATTTAAATAGAGTTGTATGTATTATCTGTTAATACGTAATACGCATGTACTAAATAATAAAACATTTTAATCAATTTTAAGTCTGTGTACAGTGTTTACATGTATTTTAATAACAACTTACAACCACGTCTATACTTTTTTTAATTTTTATGTCAAAAATACTTCTCAGTAGGTGGTACTAAGTAGTATGGTTCTGTGCAAGACAACAGCAGTTGGCAGCTTATTACCAGGCATAACAATAGTAGTTGACTACTGGTAGGGAATTGCAATAACTTTATCAGATGGTACTAGGCAAAAAATTGTTGTTGTCTACAAGTACCTTTAACGTAAATGGACTATAGTTATTACTTATTACTAACTACAACTGATGTGTGTATTGAAAACATCTATATCTTTTAAAATTATTAATAATATAAGACAATATATCGTATATTATATATGTATACATATATATTATATTAAATAAAAAGATTTCTATTTCAAAACTTTTTATCAGTTATTTATTAAAGTATAACTAAATAAACTATAATGTTCACTATCAAATACCATGTATACATTTAATTTCCCCATTAAAGTGGTAAATTAAAAGTGATATTCTATAATAGTAAAGGCCATTCTTACAATGTCCGGTCAAAGTTACCTGGCCGAATTCTGCCAGTAATAAAATCTGTTATCAGTCAGTTAGCGTTAACCGACACTTTACCGGACATTGTAGTAGGGCCCTTAGTGTTTAATCAAAATTTTTTTATCCTTAGCTCTAAGGGAAATTATTTAGAAATTTAATATTTAATGAGAGCTTTAAGACTATATTGTGTAATACTTGATAGTTGATATTAATATACATATATAAATATATATTACAGTGGTTTTCGTTGGACACTATCTCAATTTGTTATGCAGAAAGCCGACATGGGCATGAAAAGTCCTGTTGATATGATGTATTTTAGTCAACCCTGGATGTTTATTGCAATATTTCCTATTTCATTGTTTTTAGAAGGTAAAAATATTCATCACTTGTAATTTAAATATTCAGTATTTTATCAATTTAGATTCTGGGTAGTTTTAGGTAGGAAAGTGAATCTAGTTGGTAATATAGGAAGGTCAAAAGAAAATAATTCCCAGTAATTTTCAAGTGTTGGGAAAAACGTGGATTAACTTTTCGTATGGTTAAAATCTGGAAAATTGAATACAAGGTTTCTCATAAGTTTTTATTAGAGAAGTTAAAAAAAAAGTTGGGTGTAATATTCTCCAGTCATTTTTTATGAGCTTCTGAAGTTAGAAAAATTTTGATACATTGGTCAAAATTGATAAAAATTGCAAATTATACAGTTAGAAATGTATTATAATTTTTTTTGATATCTAACATTGAAAATTAAATACAAGATTCCTCATAATTCATAAAGATTTTACCTTTAAAAAAAAATGTACAAGAAAGTTAAATGAGATTTTTTACGACATTGGATAGTCGTACATAAATTAACATTTACTCATTGAATAATTTTGTTGTTATTCAAACACAAATAATAGTACAAACTTGACATTTTCACTAAATGTTTGTATCATTTTCAACAACGTTCTAATATATTTTACCTTTATTAGAGCTTTCCAACATTTTCATTTTTTTTATACAATGATTTTATATCACTTATATTACAGTAACCAACACGGTACCTACCTACCTAATGTACAGCAGATTAGTACCCTCTCGGCCACATATTTTATTTGTACCGTTATTAACTGGCTTTTAAATTGTATATTATTATTTTTAGAATTGCTTTCTTAAATATTGTATTGTGTACAGGTAATGATTTCTGGAATTGGTGGATTAATAATGAAAACATTCAATGTTATCAAATGGTTGTACGTATATTAATTGGATCATGCCTTGCTATTGGACTTGAAGTATCTGAATATTTTGCTGTATATAAAACATCAAGCATTACATTAAGTGTAGTTGGTATTATCAAGGTCAGTATAACTTATTCTGCTAATTTAATATTTATTTAATTATGTATTTTATTTTAAGGAAATTTGTATTTTGATATTGGCTGTGGAATGGAATGGTGACAAAATGACGACCATGAAGTTCTTAGGTTTAGCAATGTGCATGATAGGTGTTATTGGACATGTGTGGCAAAAGTTTTCAAGATCAATTGAAAATCGATATGGTATTATTGACAATGAAGATAATAAACATTTAACGTTACCAGATAGTGATTCTGACTCTGGTGATTCAAATAGCTCAACTGAAGTGCTTTTTGATATATTAAACAGGAGACGTTCATAAATAATATTGATATGGTTTATGTTTAAAAGGCTGTGAATTTTTTTTATTTTTAAACTGAATACATTTCCATTATTAAAAAATCAACATTGTTTAATATCCATCAGTTTGATTGCTTAAGTAACTGTGATATTATATAACACAATTATATTTATTATTTGTTTATTTAGTATTTAAAATCATACTCACTTAATTTTTAATTTACTTGTTAATGCAAATTATTTTTGTAAGCATTAAGTTTGTTTACATTCATTTTTCACAACCATGAACTTAACAAAATGTATATATTATATATATTAAATGTATATTGGTTGTGTGTAAAGGATTATACCATAAATTATTAAAATAGTATATAATCAAATATTATTTATTACCTTTATTATTGTTGACGTAATAAAATATAATATGTTGTTTTCAGTACTTTATGAACATTACAAATTAAGTTATTTTTATGTAACCATTTATATATAAATTTGTGTTGAGCATAAATATCATGGATTATATTTTTGTACTTTAATTTATATCAGTGCTTTTAAAATTAAAAACTGTGCATTTTGTATAATAAATAATAATTATGTGCAGTTCAATACAATATGTATAATAATTATAATAATAAAAAAAAAAAACATTGAGTAACTATCAATAATATTATCATATACCTACCTACTTAAGTTTTTATTGATCATATTTTGAGATCAAAATTTAACAAAAAAAAAAATGTTTGTTTAAATTATACATATATCAATGTACATTTAATAGTAAAATTCACCTTGAAAATAGGTGTATTTATTAACCTTACAGACTATAGTGATAATTATTAACATTTAACATCAAAATGAATTGAAAAAAATATAAAATTAATGACGTCAATCAAATTATCAAAACTATTACCTAATCAGTTCAAAATATAAATAGAAAAAATGAAACTGACAATATTACGCAGATATAAATAATATAAACTCAACATTGTCTTCACTTGACTAGCACACGTGTGGGTTAAACGTATTTTGGACGCTGATAATATAATATATTAGGTACCTAGGTATAATATTACCATAATATCATAATATAAAAGGTGGTCTACAATAATATTATTGTGTGGACACCGGACGTCCGACTTGCATCTCGCTCCGGGCGATCGCCATCCATTGGTTGCGACTGGTGTCGAACCACGTCAGCCCGAAGTTGTACTTGCCGTTGAGATTGGCGTGCTGACACCGCGAGTACCACCAGCCACCCTCGTAGTTGGCTGCGCAGTTTGCCGTGCTGGCGTCTTGGTCGCGGTCTGCCGTGCTGAACCGGTGGCCGTTTTGGAAAGACAGGGCGTCGGTGGCGTTGCCGCGGTAACCGGAAATGTCCAGTCTGTAACCATCGGTGGCGTTCGATATCGAGAAGTTCAAGTAGTCCGCCCGCCAATTGTTACCGTATATGTCGGTCATCCGGACGCGCAGAGAAGACGCGTTGTCCGCCGTCAAACGGTGGATAGCGTCGTTGCCCAGCCAAAAATCGCCTGTGAAATACGGTTTGAATAATTTATAGTAATATAAAAATATGTCTCATGATCCATGATGTCTCCATATTAATTATTATCATTGAATTCGCGTCAATATAATATGGGGGGGAGGTCCGAACTATAAACATTTCAAATTTTATATTAGGAATTAGTATTTTAGGTTACTTGTTTTTCGAATAAACTGCAGGTTACCTATATAATATATATAAGCCATGTGCTATATAGATATTCATATTATCGTTGAATATGGTGGAGGGAGCTGGGAGGTAGGCTTATTTTTTAGTAATTGCTTAGGTACACCATTGGCTATGGGTGACGTCACTGAATTATCCAAGAGAATATCCATGTCGTGACTATTATAGGTACCTATATAACTATAATTTTAAATATTTTCTATTTAAACGCAGGATATAAGCATGAGTGATGTGCAACTAAAACAGTAAACACCAATTACGTGAAAGGGATGAGTGAGTACAAAATTATCTAAAAAACAGTATGGCGCACTTTCAACATATTATTCTTTTTATTCGTATAAGAGACTTAGGTTAGGTTCTTATTAAGAAGGTATGTTGAGAATAGCTGGTATATCAGGTGGGACGTGGAACTAAGTGCCTACCTAAACATATAGATAATAAATCTACTACACATGACATATTTGTGTTTAATAAAAAAGAGAATTAACTAAGCATATCAAAATTGTAATATGTTTTACACAGATGCTTCGAAAACAGAAAAAGGGATCGGTATTTGTCTGTTGCAATTTTCTTTCTCAAATTAAAAAGTTTGACATAAAAACGTTAATTTTGTTTTGACCTTGCATATACGACTATATGAGTGATACGCATACGACCACGACATACCTCCCCATAACCGATATGGCGATATAGTAGGTATATTATAGGTACCTACTTAAACAAAATGTAATTGTAGTATGTTAGGAATTTTTGTAACAACATATTTTAAACTGGGCATGAGTATTCAGTAAATTCTTGAAAAAATACCGTTATTAGATATCTGTTAGGTTAGGTCATTCTTTATTGTCTTGTCTTCGTAAGGATAAAAAGGGTTAGTATAGTTTATTAGTTTCTATAGGACCGTGGGGTTACAGTTACTCAGTTGTCAAAATTATTCACGAATAAAAACTGTTATGACTGTGCTTGACCCTGTATAATCTATAAGGACCTACATAATATTTTAATTTATATGTTCTTTCTATCCCAATATTTGTGAATTAACAAAATTATTAATTCACGTGCAAAACCAGTTAAAATATACTATAAGTAGGTGATTTAGTGATTATAAATCATTGAACATAAATAGTTATACGCATTCATTTTACATACAAATTAATATAAATGCTACTCAATATTCCGTATTCACTTACCGTTTAAGTTTCCGAATCCTTTGGCATACTCGTTCCAATTGTTATTGAATTTGAGATGATCATTGGTCCTTTTTTGCACTGTGATCCAGGACATACCATCCGATATGTGGCATTGAACGAGCAAAGGGTTTTTTCCATCCGGTGCTATCAGATATGTTCCCGGGGACTTCAATTTAGAACAATCTATAACACGTTTGATTTTACATTTCAATTTCCATTAAATAACTTCTTAATAGGTGAAGTATAATGTATATAATATACAGGGTGTCCCGTGAGGATTTACTCATTACTCATTAGCCGTAGAGGGGGACTCGCCGCCCGGACAAAAACCAGTTTATTGACGTTTTACTAATAAACTAAAAAAATTATTAAAAATCATGAGATTAATGAAAATAAAATGTTAAAAGCTCAAAATGTTCACAAAAATATACTCTATAGAATGGCTATCTTCAATTTTTTCAAAAATAAAAAAATAATTTTTTTAACTTTTTTACTAAAAAATTTAATTTAATTAAAAAATAAAATATTTGTAGTGCTTACCTCTGCGAGTCTTAATAAAAAAACATAATTACGATATCTCCATTATTTCAGGAGATATCGCAATGAGTAAATCCTCACGGGACACCCTGTATAATATGTTTTTAATATTTTATTTGTTAAGCATAAAATTAAATTTACTCTTTGTAAAATGTATAATATAACACTACCCCCCCCCCTACCTGAAATATAAAGGAAGAATTCATTTCTAATGAGATATATTTTTTTGGTCAATAATTACGAAAAACTGAATATATTTAACACCCTAAACAAATAAAAATTCAGGTCTAAGTATATGCCACTGCGGCGTATACCTATTTTTTTTATTAATTATTAGGTACCTATACCTATATGGCTATACATAATTTAAAATAATAAAAATGACATAAATTTATGTTCCTACTCCCTATAATATAGTTTTCTAAAAATTAATATTACTTAATTAGGTACTAGGTAGGTACCTAAATAAAGTATTTTATTTATCGCCAATATATTATGTTTTTATAATGTAGGTACCTGTGTACTTTACAAATTATTCGAATTTACTAAAAAAAATTAATTGTAGAGCAGAAACCATTGTGGGACGCGTTAGACATATCTATGATTATCGCAGTTAAAATCATAATATTTGTGTAAGAAAATTAATCCAACACTTCGTGGAAGTATACGAAAATAAAGAATAATATATTATGCATAATAGTATCTACATACCACGTAGTCATATTATGTTTAGTTTTAACACATAAATAATACGCTCTATATATACAGCATATTATATTTGGATATTCCTTAAACGTGTATTTCTAGCTATTGCCTATTAGTTATACATTTATGGAAATACTGACTAGGTAATTAAGTAAATTTTATAATTTTTATTCAGCTAAAGGTACACGCATAATGGATGTACACTTTTAGTCATACCTGCAGTAGCTATACCCAGTAATTAGTTATTTGTATTTATACGTGTTTTTATTTTACTACATGACGCGCATATATAAACATGGAAAACGGAAACAATGCAATAGTAACCGGATGAATATGAATAAAAAAACCACCTGCAGTCATATTCGATATGGTTAACCGATCAAAATAATTAACTAGTAAATACTTCTATTCTGCTGCGGGGTAACACGAACAACCCTATTTATAGTTTACGCTTCAAGAATTCTTTAACGGACTTTTTCGATTTCAGCTCGTTATTTTAACTTTACATGTGTCTTCTATCGACTATCATAATCCTTTTATAATATATAAAATAATATATTAATATATAAGTACATAATAAAGTATAAACTTATACGTGTTACTTTAACTTCTAGGTATAAACTATAAATACAGTTTATTTTAGTTTGATTTTGTATTATCATTTTATTGCATATTATGTGGACTTAAGAATTTTAAGTTGTTATAAATATTAGTGCATTATCGGGTTTTACATTTTTACCCTTGTGGTTGTGATATTGTATACGGTTATTATTGTATATGAATAAAACATTTTTTTTTTTTTTTTAAATAAATTAAAGTGAAAATAATAGCACATAATATTTAAATGCTAATAATACGATATTTATAATTATACACGCACTGACAAATGTGGGATAGTTCTCAGTTTCTCACATACCTTTGGGAAGTCCGTCGACAATTCTTTCAAATGAATTTTGCAATGTGGCCAATTCGTCGATTGCATGTGTACATTCCGTGCAATTTTCTTTCTTTATCTAAAAATTAAAACAATGGTTCTATCAGATTGAAATCAATTTCATAAATATTTTCATACTTAAACAGTATAAAATATGCAAAAATATGTTAATTAGCTATTAGCACTGGTTACGACGATGTAGACGCGGTATACCTGTAAGGCATAGATTAACTTTACTCATTTAATAGGTAGTTTTAAACAAGTTAATATGGTTAGGTTAGGTTATAGATTATGTACGATTCTGCATGAAAACAATAACTGCCAACTGTTGAACTGAATAAATATTAAAACAAAAACTACGTTTGTTTTTAATCACTTTTTTAATTAAAAAATATTTTATTCTTCAGATTTTGAAATACCTGCAGCTATGCCGCAATTGCCGCTATGGTGCTATCTGTATAGTATATTTATTATTTAATATTTATTCCTTATACTATGGGCCTATGGGTAATATTATATACCTACGCTAAAGTCTACAGTCTGCGGTCTGTGTAATTGAACAGTTATAATCATTATTTTACATGAATAAAATATGTCCCTTACTCCCTTACCTATATGTATCTTTCAACAAGGGGTAAAAAACTAAGAAACTTTTTATACTTTTACAAAATTGTGCCTATAATTTTGCAAAAAAAAGTGTATTATGAATTATGATAATATATTAATTACAATGAGCGTACAACTATATTTACTTGTCTATCGCACGCTCAATAATTTAGTCGTACAAAATTTAATATTTTTTTTTTAACGGTAATCGGTATAAAAAATCCCCAGACTACAATATTACTCACAACCACATGAAAATGATTGAACAAATATTTTTTTTTAAAAGCTATAATTATAGATACTAATATTACCACATGTCCACATTATTAATATTTAGGTGTATTATATATAGGTACTTATCGTTCGAAAAATGAGTATATTATATAATAGTATAATACATTAAATAATTTCAGAAAATTGTGGTTTGGAGTGGTGCGTTGTGTACATTCAGTTACGAACCTATTCTGAGTGTACGGACTGGTCGGTTTCACTAGCTCCCGGATGGGTGACCACCCGTGATTTTTAGTGGCATATCCTTGCCGCAAATACACACACACATGTTAAAAACCTACAGTACCCTCCCTCACAGTACCCCAGGCTAACGACCTCTGTTTTCGAAAAATTAACAATAATATTTTATTTTAGGTAAAATATTAATATTCATATTAAGTAAGTATAATTCTGTAAAATTACACTACAAAAATTTGAAAATTATATTGTAGTTAAAAAATGTAGAAAATGTTAAGATAGCGAATATCAAAATTGTGTTCACTAGCCCATTACAGATATGATAAGTAGATGCAACCTTTTATCTTATATTTTATTATATATTATTATCAACGGTACACACTACACGGCTGGAACCCGACTGAGCACGATTGACCTTTTTCACAACCCGATTGAGCATGGTTGGAATCAAACAATAGGAACCCAAAAAAAGCCCATTGTTAATTTTTTGGGAAATTATTGATTATTATATTATTATTATTATTATTATTATTATATTATTTTTTTTAATGATAAGTATATATTATAATATACCTAGGTATTTATAAATTTGAATTAAATATTAATAATAATAATAGTAGTAATTATATACCTATACTAATTGGTGTTTAAAAAATATTTGTTCTATCATTTTCATGTAGTTGTGACTTGTGAGTAATATTCTAGTCTGGGGATTTTTTTACCTAGGGTCGGGGATTTTTATTCCGCAATTCGTTTTAATAGGTTCTTTCCAGATAGTATTCTCAAGATGACAATTAAAAAAAAAAAACCGAATTTTAGCGTATTTTATGCGCACCTATTATGTTTGTCTTTTGAACCCCGCGCAACTTCCGTTTTATTGAATTTTTCGAGAATTCATATTATCGTACATATCTATGTAGTTCATTGTTTTAATTTCGTACGTCCCATAATACGGACGCATTAACGCAGTAATGGTTGTCCTGCTCGCGTATTATTGTGCAAGGTTATTTTAAAATTTGTTTTTGTCGTTTAAGTACGTGCATATTATTATAATAACATTCATAATTCACATACATAATATTATTTATTATAGGCCACTATTTTTTATTACATGCGTGCGTGCTTTACAATGAGTGTATTACAAGGAGCCGTTTCGTCCGACATATGGAATTGGGCAGGTGTGAGTAGCACCTGACCACCGTCGAGCCGCCGCCGACTGTGACCTCGTGCTCACGTTGGGACGAAACGAATAATATGGTAAAAACAAAAACCACCTGCCGCCGACGGGCAGCGTGTGCGTCGCTCCGGGGCCCCCTATGTATTATTATCTGTGGGCTGTGGTACAATAACATTATAGCGGACGATGAAACCACCGCAGATGACGATGGACCAGTTTTTTGATGACCAGGATGAAAATTCGGCGAGTCGTGTACGGGTGTTAACGACGACGTAATATTATATTCCTAATAAGTAATAGCCAATAGGTAACGCGCAAGATTCCGAAATCAGCTTTTTTAAAAAACCAAAAATGCTTGTATTCCTACGTATACGGAAAAATAAATACCCAAGGACCAAAATTAATTCTATACACAATTTATCTATACTGCCGCAATGTTAGGATATAATATTATGTACTATGGTATATAGATTTACCAAAAATAACTAGGAAAATAAGTCCGTAGTTAAAAACTAAAAAGTCTGAGACATAAAAAGTCCATGATAAAAAAGTCTAGTACCTACATATAATTAGGTGAAAGGAAAAATACATAGCGATGCACAAGCACAAACACAAACATTAATTAATATAAATTAAATGATTTACTTGACAAAAATAGCAACTAGACAGGTAGGTATAGAAATTATTATTATATAATAACTACGATATAATATTGTTTTCGTATAAATAATTAATTCGAATTATGATGATTGTATTTATTTTTTAAATTTATATACTTTTTAAAAAAAGTTAAAAAGTCAGGTAAGCAAGTTCTGTTAATTAATATAAATATATATTGCCCATAACTGTGGTAAAGGTATAAGCGATGACTATTATTATACACAATAGGTAGCCGAGGTAATTTAGGTTGTAGCCACAGTATACTCACATGAGGGGTGGATACCATTTTCTCGATTTGTTTTTCACTGTTGTACTTGGTCATTTTTCTCTGTATGACTGACATCCCTTCGCCGAGGGCCTTTGCAGTCAACATTTGGTTATTCTGAAAACACAATCGTTACGCACTTACAATAAACTCGGTGATAATAATATAGGTAGTCCATAACGTAACCACGTAGCCTACGAACTATACTGTATACCTTCATATTATAACTATACTGAATAATAAAGTTACCTAAGTATATAGGTACGATGCGTTTACATATTATAATATTATTGTTATCCTAATATCCTATACAGGACGATTCACTGAGTATACTCATCTCCATTTTATCCTGTCTAAAATACAATAAACAGATAATAATATAATGGTCAATGGGTATCCGAGTTATATGAGTGCTTGAATATACTATAAATTAATTACTATTAAACAACACCTTGGCATTTGTTATAGTGCGTATAAAGTAAAAAAAACAAAAATAAATAGTTACCCATAGGTGGCATATAGGGTGGGGATCACGAGGGAAAAGTTGCCCTACCTAGAAAAAATATTGAGAGAACAAATTTATCATTATAAATGCGGGCCAGTAATTGTATTTCATTTTTGCATTACACCTCCCCCCCCCAGCACAAATAAATAGTGCCAAGTGCCGTATAGGTAACTACTCGTTGATATTTTGATTTTGATGCAAAACATTTGAAGAAAACCCGTCTATCTATTTAACATATTTAAGTAATAAAAAAGGGACGTTCTAATTTGAAAAACTATACTCGGGTGAATTGTTCGATATTATAATAGGTAATAATACAATATGTACATAACAGATGATATTATTATACTGCCGGACTCACTTGGTCTTCCTTAATGATAGCCACAGAAGCGTTTATCCGGGCCACGGTGAATTCTATTTTTGATATTTCCTTGCGCACTTCCGGCAGACACGCGTCCACGCGGTCGTCAAGATTTTCCACGCTTTCCAACAGCTCCAGCAAGGACCCGTGCAGCCTGTCCTGTGTGGCATCCTGGCGAGTGGCGTTAAATGCCAACGCTTCCTTGGTGGCGTTAAGGTCAGCCTCCAGTCGGGACAAACGGTTTTCCCGCTCCATAGCCGCACTCTCCCGGTAAAGCACGCCTTTCATGCGCTTCTCCAGACGGGCCATCCGGTGTGCCAGATATTTGCGTGACGATTCCAGCTGTTCCAGCTCCTGCGCCTCCCGGTCCGTCACCAAAGTGGTGATGACGTTCGTCTGCAGACGCTCGGCGTTATTGTTGTTGTCATCAACATCAAACGCTACTCGCTGCATTCGAAAAATACACCGGTGTTATATACGCATATATATAGGGTAGGTTAGGTTATATATATATATATCCTACTGCATAATAGATATTGCTACAGATAGTAAGCTGCAGTGTTTGAGTGTCAATTTACAATTTAAGTGAGTTGGTAAGTTATTACTTAAAAAAAACCCCACCTAACTCAGTTTTATAAAAATGCGATTAAAGTTTATTATATACGAAGGTACTCTATATAAATAGTTAGGTACTTTGTATGATTTAAAATGGCTTAGAGAAGTAACTATATACAGAGTTCTGAGTTAAGGTGTAACAAGAAGATCTGACAAATAAAAAAACTTATGTTCTAATCAATATATTTTTTTTTATATATTATAATATTATATAAGTTATTGATTGCGCTACACGCACAATGATATACAATTTTGTATTGTTATTTTTAAGACTGAAATTAAACAATTAAAATATGATTTCAATTTATTTTAAAAATTCAATTTAGTTCATTTGTAAATCTGGTTTTTAGGAAACTTTGGATTATAAAAACATTTATCTAAGTCAGGTTTATATTTTATGATTTTTAAAATGTCAACATTTTTTTAAGACTCGTACAAAAGACTAACAAAAATTTAACCTACTTAAAAATTCTCATAAAATATTTTAAAAAAGTTCATAGTTAGTGCATATTTTACATACTTATAATTCATAACTCACTTAGTCACTTAAAATATCGTAAAAACCTATATAAAAATCCCCTATAATGTTCTTAGCCTGAAGACTGAAAGTTTGATAATAGGTCAGTTCACACTAATATCAAAACTAACAGCACACTATTGAAACTGGTAAAAGAAAAATTTTCTAATTCGTATGTGTGTCGTGTGTAAGAGTAAGACAGAGACAACAAACATGCGGGTACGACGTCCTCTTAAGATATTTAATTTATTTAGGTTTGTATGTATATTGTATAAGCAATATAGCCATATTCAAGTCAATTATTTTTAAATCGTGAGTATAATGTATTATGGAATTATAGTATATTATACACCTACTAATAAATATACGTTTAGAAACCGGGAATTTATCCCGCTCAGGCCTTAGAGTGAGCTTTCCTAACTTTTTTATTTTATATTCATATACATTTTATTTGTAAATACTAAATATACAAACACTCACTTTATAAACGTTGCTGTACGCCGTTTGTACGTCGTTTTCGTTGTTTTTCTGGAAAACGAATACAATAATAATAATTATAAACGTGACTTTGTTTTGACTTGTTACTGTCCCAAGGTATAATATAAAATATAATATAATAGACGGGTATAACTATACGGTTAGTAAGTATAAATGCGCTTGTTTTGATGTTTAATTTTCACCTTAAAAAAAAATCCCTGAAAACGCCATTTGGTCAATGCGGGAGCAGATAATATTATACTCTGTCTGGCGGCAGACGTGCACCCACGTTAGCCATATGGTTTGATAGTAATTATTATCATCTCAAAGGTAGAATATTGGTCTCTGTTATTTTTTTTATATATATATAATTCTGTGTAAAATACACCTAGACGTGACGTTCGAAATTGCGATTGATATATGCGTATATACTATATTATAGTGTAAATGTTTTCTTTAATTGCAAAGAGCACGAATATATAAATTGTATAACATACGCATTGGCGTATATAGGTACTGTATAATAAATAATAATAATATATACGAACTGCATAGGTAGGTATTTTAAACAGATACGTTTTTTTCTTCATATTTACCGACAAGAAGAGGCTTTACCTCAAGAGCATTTTTCCCTGTCATATATAGTATTATCTACAATTCACATTGTAAATATTTACCACCTGCAGTTGCCTTTAATTATTCGTAAATAGGTAAATGATTTCTCCTCTAATAATATTATTAGCGATTTAAATATATATATTTTTATTTGTCTATTTTTATTTGTCTATTATATATAGTATATACCTAATACAGTAATACCTATGTAATCAACTCATTTTTATTAGGCTATTCCCTATAAAATACGAATATAAGAAACAATAAATTACTAATTTCACTTACTTTATCGATTATGTTTTGATGTTTAGCAATGGTGTTAATCTTTTTCTCCAATTCGGAATGTTTAGTTGATATTTCTTCGACATTCTTCTTAACTGACATTAATTCTCCTTGCATTGTTTGCAAGTCTTTTCGATCAGAATCCAAGTCATTCCTCAGTGCTTGCAGATCGTTTTGTATAGCTACAGTCTTGTGTATCTGCGCCGTTTCGTTGATGGCTGACCACACCGCTTGCATTTCTGATCTCAAACCCCCAATCACTTCCTTTAGCCATCCTACGGCTACTTTATCACGGACCCCATCGTTGCCAGAATGGGCCATCCTCGCATGTTCATCCCTAATATAAAGACAATAATATTTGATTCATAATTCATATACAATTATAATTAAAATAATTTATTATAAGTTAAAACAACTATAATATGAGCCATTATCTCTTTAGAAATTAAAAATGTATAATATTAAAATAGGTACCTAATCGTGTTGCCGAATTTATTGTTAAACCTTAAAATTGCTTCTCTTAACATAATTATGCTGCGAAAAGCCTATGAATATATTACATTTATTTGAATACTCGTGAATAACATTATTATGTATTTATGTGTATTTAGTTTTACTGAGCATGTTATACATCGCGCAACTCTTTTAACAATTAAAAATAAACACGCAAATGTGTGAACATCCGGATACGATATATAATTTCACTCCTTCTTTCATCTTTCATTCTATGTAAATGTCTAAAATGTTATGTTAACTATACCTAAAATAAATATTAGTATAAATAAATAAATCTCATATTTAACAAGAAATTTTGTAAACAATACAATAATTACCTAATACATTTTTTTTTTTTAACTTGACGTCTCTAGTTAAAAATTATATACTATTATCTGACATTTATAACGTAAACTAAATAATTGTTAAGTAACAAAAAATACCTATACGGCTATACTTATTATTTTATTTTTATAAACTACCGTTGCCCAGGCATGCACCTCGATAATCCAGCAAGGATATTAATAAATTAATTTACTCGTATAAATGTATTACTTAGTTTAAATTAACTAAATATGACATAGGTATGTAAAAATATTAAATTACTATAGGATATAGCTACCTATCTATATTATAATATTTATCACGCGTGATACTATTGGAACATGGAAGTGATGATTGCGTTTGCGTATTCATTATACATATATTATTATTATGCCATTAACAAAATAAATAATTAGTTATAGCCGTCCTGTAAAATATCGGTAGACAATCTAATAATATCATAGTATAAAAAATGTAAATTGTAATCCTAATGAAAAAATAAACGGACTCTAAATAATTAAGGGAGATTCAACAACAGATAGAACAAGGTTACGGGTTTAGGTTAAGTAGGTATAGGTATTCGAAAACATTTGCATAAAACTAATGTGTACTTATAAATGGGTAGGTACATGGTCGAATACTATCTATATAATAAATTACTATGATCGACTATTAAGTACTAATATGATTAGTATATGTGGCATTGTGGTGGATACTTGTCACTTGATGACAACATATTAATAAATTATTGAATACTTTTCTTGCAAATTCAGTTATAATATGTCTTTGTTATTTTAATTTCTATAGATACTATAGTACCTATCATAATTTATTGTAGAGTATAGTAGTATACTATTAAGTAGAAACTTTTACGATATCTCGATTTACATTTAATTAAAAATATTTTCAGTAGGTAGGTACGAGGTACCTGTATCTGAAAATAAGACTAGACTTCATAAAATAGTTTAATAGTCGGTACAATTCGATTTTTAGAATTTAAATCTACCGGTTGGTATGCAATATATAATATACTATATGGGATAACATTTGAAATAAAATTTTCCCGTGAAACTTAAATCGTCATATTTTTTTTCAATATTTTTACCCTGATACATTCATATTAGACATAACTACAGTGTAAAATATGTTATATATCGTTTAATATCTTAATTTTTAAAACCAACACTATATGACACATTGTAAATAACTCGTTGTGGTTTGCCAGTTAGTAGTATCTAAAAATACTGTTACTCCAGGCAAGTGGAATTCTGTAACGATTTTAACGTCTTCGTTTAGTATATTATTCACTGTTATTTTGTTCTTTATAACTTGTATACAACCAGGACTGTCGTCAATATCACTAAACTTTGTAATTTCAAATTACCACAGGTAATTAGAGTATATTTATTATTACTTTTTACAATGATTTTATATTTTACATGCATTTTTAATAACTGTTATTAATTATTATATTATGTAGTCTGATAATTTTATCTTCAACTCTGCTTATAAAGTTGGAGTAGGTTTTGTTTTGTCAAAAAAAATTAAAGCAATAACTATTATTATAAAATTGTTCATATTGATCACTGATCAGGATCAGTTCATAGTTTTCGTAAATCGTAATAGACGTTGGTAGTTATTATTAGTATTTTTTTTAAGCAAATCCATTAAATAAAAGTTTATTTTAATATGTGAGAATGTGGGAGTGATAGATAAATAGATTAAAAGTATATTTATATATGTAATTATATGTTTAGGTAATATACTAGTTGATACAACATTAAACAATATTCAAAAAATACAAAATGAGCAGTATTCATATGCTTTTGATTTTCATGAGAACATGATGACTAGTAATTGATTAATATGTTAAGAATTACTAAATATTTAATGAATCAGTAGAAAGCTAATGGTCCCTTAAACATGATTTAGTGGCCCGTGTTTGGTTCATTAAATTTTAGTGAACCATTAAATTAGGTAGTACAAAATTTAACTCAGCATATTTGAATTAAAATAATAAATTGCAATTTACATATTATCTACTACCTATTATCAGTGCGTACTATATAATTATTATTTTTCAAATATAGAATTTTTCTAAAGGGAGAGTGAGATAAAATGTCATTAAATAAAGATAAATAATTTCAATTAATAAATTATTAATATAATAATATGTAAAAATATATTTATAAACGCTGCTCATTAGTTACTTTAATTTACTTAACAAATTTTCTTTGATCTACAACTTTTATGACCTCGTTTTCCATAATAATTTAAAATTTAACCGAAAAGGTGATTTTTAATGGGTAAATCTAAATAAATAATAATTAACTAACAATGTATTAATATGATGATAAATTATAATATTGTATCTACCTATATTAAATAGAATGTAATGTTATTGGTTTCGTAGTAAAATATAGTATAAGTGCCTAGGTATGTACATTACATCGACTAATTATAGATTTTTTTAGAATTATTTGGTAAGTTTCATGCCAAAATATAATATTATAATATATTCACCTGATTAATTGAATTTCTTCTTTCAACGCATCGAGGTCTGTGCTTCCTTTCAGAGATTCGTGAAGCGATTTTTCCAACTGCTGGTAATCCTGTTGTCTTTTTTCCATCAGCAAATTTAGTTGGTTTTTAATTGTCCTCAACTCGTCTGTATCGAGTGCTGTCTGAGCCTCGGCTGGACCTGTGAACTTGCATATTATAGCAACATTTATTATCAGGAACAGAAACATGGTTGTAGTCTTGCTTGAACACTTCGTTTCTAACTGAACACTGTAAACTAGTCCGTTCAAGCCTGTCCCTGTACCCGGGCCAGGAGCAGATGGTGTATGGCTCGTGTTCAGTTTGCGCATGCGTACATCGAATCCGGTTTTTTTTTCACTTTAACGTGTTATTATATAGTTATAGGTATACACGGTAATATTATAACATTGCAGAAACACGAGCGAAGTAAAAACGAAATTAATGCGAAGAAAAAATTAAAAGGATTGTTATTAAAGTGGTTATTTATTCGGACACTTTATTATATCAACGTTCGATCGATAAAAAATCCAGTTATGCAGGTGTTCAACGAGCTTAGGCACGTGGATCAGTTGATTCTCTGAATTAAATATGTACCGGACTTGCTCGCTAATTATTTATCATCGGATACTGCAACAGTTAAACGTACTCTTATACATATTGCCAATGCACGTCGTGTTTGAATTATTTAATTGTTAAACATAGGCAGGTATATACCTACTTCTTTTATTATAGTTCTGTACTTCTGTATAATAAAGTGAAACCATAAGATGCATTATGTATAGACTTCATTGATGAGTTCGGTTGCTTGTTACATATTTTATTTCCGTAGGTAGGTAAGGCTCTTTGTTTTCCATTGGAATATAACTTTTTGAAGCATATTGTTTGATATACTGTCATATATATATATATTGTTCTTATATAGCTAATAGCTATATATATATACTGATAATTTCAATCGTTACGATTATTTATCTTTTATCGATAGAGTAAACTGTAATGTGTAAATTATATACACGTCGTTATTCAATTCGATTTATTAAACACTGATAGCTCATCACAATGTTTCATCATAAATGTCCTATCTATAATATAGACATTAATAGTATAAATATTGTTCGTACACCTATACATTTTACTATCTATATTTATATATAAAATAATAACATAATTTAATTACTTCTATATACGTTTGACATTTGGTAATCACTAATTAAAAAGATATCGGCTTACCACCAATGCTAAATGCATTTTTAAATGATAAAATAGTTATTTTGTGTATTCTGGTTTTATTTAAATGCATTTCATTCAGATTTATTTTTTTTTCTGAATTGAAAATTTAATGTAGTTAAGTGTGATTTTTTTCGCACATCCTAGTTAAAAATAATATAGTTAAACCTTAAAATTATTATTTTATGAGTTATTATAATATAAGGCTTACATTTTTTTTATTGATCGTGTATATCGAAGACTAAGAGTTACTATTAATAATATTTATTATTTATATACTATATACGAACATTATTAATAATCGGTAAAAAATTATTAAGTAATTTAAATTAAACAATAACTTAGGTACTTAGGTATCGACGTATAGTAGGTATATTGCGGGATATTGGGATACGGGACATGCCGCCTGTAGCCGGGATCGAACCGCCGTCGGTGCGCGTCTCAACCAACGCCTTAATCCGCTCGGCCACTCCGTCCCCCTATTCAAATTAATTTTTATAGGTAAAATATGATATTATAAATATAATTAAATTGGATCGTGATACACGCATGATATTATTTTATGTATAGATTATAATATTTTGATTTCTATTACCTGTTCCATAAATGTCATGTGAATATGCGGTAATTAATCCTTACAGTTTACATATATAATTATAAAATATGAAATATGACTTAATACATTTTTCACTGTATATTTTTACACTGTTATGAAACTATGAAATACATTTGATAATTGATTTAATTGTGATGTGCTATACAGTTATAACAACTGCACAGTTGTATATGATACTATTGTTTACATCATATTAATTGTTCCATCATTCGATTTTTTTAAGACCATCACTTCGATTCGAATCATGTTTTTGCTAAGTCCGCATTAATTCAATATTTTTTCATATTTAAGCTGTTAAAACGTATACACATTTATGATGCATTTGTGTATTATTTATGAGCGACGATGCATGTAAAATGGTTATTCCAGGATGTGTATATACCATGACACCATGTCACTTGTCTCGTGACCTCATACAAGTATGTACATATATCTACTCTATTCAGGATAAAAAATGCCCAAATTCGCGCATGAATACATATTACCGAGTCGCCGGCAGTTATCTTTTATTCTTTGGGTAATATTGTAACCGAACACATGCTAGTATATATTATATTATTATTTCATTTACTAACCATACCTAATATAACTTCCGGCGGCTCAGTTATCAGTATTCGTCCGCGAATTTGGGTATTCTTATCCTGAATAAAGTATAGTTGTATCTATATAAGTGAACATTTCTTATATGAAAATAGACAGATCTCATATTACGCTATATTCCTTGTGGCTAGTTGATTTATGTTGTAGTTGAAAATGTTATAGTGTATAGAAAATGGAAATATAAACAACCAGTGAAAATTTCAAGTGTCTACGGTCATTTGTTTTAAAGTTACACCAAAAATCAAATTCAATTTTGTGAAAAATCGATTTTGCGTAAAAATTCCCGTTTTTCCTTAATTTTTCTTTTGTTAATCTTGTCGCTTGTGAAAACTATTGGGAATTTTAAATTTTGACCTCCCAAAAGTACCAACTAGATTCACTTTCCCATTGAACAAGTTACTGAAGTTGAAAATCGAAGCATTATTTCGACTACTACCTAATCGTGTGCACAGACACAAAAAAAAAAATAAAAATAAAAAAAAACACACATCATTTTAAAATCAATACATTCATCGTTTCACTCAGAATCTAAAATAGGTTCGATCTGTAAAAAATATATATTAATAATATTTTATACGGTACCAACAGATTGCTTATATAGGTATGTGCAGGTACAATAAGTGAAATTGAGTCTAATATTTTGCCTAAATGTACCTAGATAATATAAAATTGCATGAAGTCTTCTCGTATTTCAAAATGAGTCTTAAATTAACTATAATAATAAGCGATTGCAAGCTGCTGATATTTTAAAAATTATGAGGTAAACGCGATATGCAGCTGCTTGGCTCGTGCCAGATGCAACTCACAGCTGGGACATCCCGAAAACGAAAACAACTGTCCGCATAGTGTTTATAAAGATAAAACACACCTGCTTACAACTAGCAAGGGACTATATCATAGACTTCTATGTATCCAGGCGTTTGCCCTCAAACGAAAAGCTAACCACCTTATTAATAAAAAACTCGATTCGTGTACATAAAAGAAAAAAAATAACATTTCATTTATTTTGATCCAGACACATTTCATAAATGGCTATTATATAATTATTTTAAAAACCAAAACAGGAACATTTTACACAACAATAAAATACAACGTATTATAAAAATTACAAATATTTAAAAAATAAATAAATAGTTAATATAATCTAATTATTATAATAATTAATTATAATCTATTGAGCTAGAAATCGACGAGTATTTCGAAAGAAAAAAAACAACGGCTTTATAAATAAATATAAAAGATATTTTGGTCTAAAAAGATAATGCAGGCCGCAATAAGACATACATATTATTTTGTTTTAAAAAAATTATTTTGAATTTAACTCTCGGTGTGATTCAATCGTTTTGAATATCTTATGCGTAAGTCTTCTATGAACTCGTTCTTCAGAATTTTTAAACATCTATAAAGTGCAGGTAACAAATAAATAAGACAAATTATGAATTTCGTTTTCATTGTGATTTTAAAACAATGATACATTTTGATTAATATCGAGTTTAAGGTTGAAAAGTAAACACGAACCTTCTATATTGAGATGACCCTCGAAATTTGGCAATATCAAAACTCGGTGCGTGAGGCATATGAATTATAAACGCATTTGGAAGAACAATAAAAGTGTACCCTCGAGCCTCGAGTTCCATGATATGCGACACTTTGTTCCAGCCGAAACCCACAAATCTGGTATCATATCTTGGAACATCACTGCGTACCACTACATAGGGTTCATAATCTGGTTCCCATGATACCTAAACAAATTATCAATTAGAGTTTACGAAGTGTAAATGTAACACCTTCGGATTTAAATGAATAATAAGTTTTTTTTAATTTTAAATATTTTTTATTGCACTATCTGTTCAAATAAGTAAGCATCGAAGTATCGAACAATAAGTAAATTTGACGCATGGAAAAGGGAAAAACAAAAGATTCCGTGAATGGTAAATCATATCTTTTATTTTTCCCTTTTCCATACACTAAATTTACTTATTGTTCAAACTTCGAATATTTATAGGTGAATTGTAATTTAGAAAATAATTTGTAATGCTATATTTTATTTTAGACCAGCGGTCTATTTTTTTATAATAATTAAAAATATAATAAAATACTAATAAAATATAAATATATAGGTAACAGCCAATAGGTATATAAATATATATAATAAAGTAAAATGTCGATTATCTAATCTGGTGTAAAAATTAAATAATCTAAAAAAAAAAATAGTCTGTATTAAAGAAAACGTTGTTCATGGATGCAGTGGCGTAGCCCGTAGGGGGGTGTTTACCCCCACCCACCAATAAAATTATTTATATACAAAAACCGTAAAACTTAGTTTAATTTATACTTAACAATCCCCCCATTTAATAATCCTGGCTACGCCATTGCATGGCTGAGACATGTGCCCATGAAAATATTATAAAGAGCAGTGTGCCATGTTTAAAAAAAGGTGGAAAACCACTGTTTTAGATGTTATACAATATTTTATTTACTACCTATATATTATACAAATACTGAAATACAATTTTTTACTTTGTACGGAACAGTAGATCCTTTCCATTTGGCGTAATTTGTTGCCGCGTGCCCTTTTGGCCACACATGATATCTAAATGAGAATAATGCTCCGTCGTCCAACATTCTCAGTATATCGGCTTTTGTTTGCGGAAATGCAGTTCTATATCTTTGAGTTTCAAAGGCAGGTACGACTAACGCCTATAAAATAGTTATAAAGTTTAATTAATTGAATCAATCGCCTATATGTGTATATAGAGTCAATAGATATAATGAATTATTAGATAATTCGATTGCGCAAATAAATTACTTTATCGGAAGACTTGATGTTCATTATAAATATGTACTTTTTCAAATACGAGTATAGGCCGCTCATTGGCAAGAAATCGATGTCAGATAAGAATACATAGGGTGTTACGACATTTTCCAAAGCAACATTCCTCAGTAAATTTATAGGGTAAAAGTCCTTTAAGAAATGTACATAAATATGTTTAATTTAGTATGAACTATGAAGTACACAAATTTTATATTATTTCAGGTAAATATTATATTACCCCTTCCTTATAAACTACGTGGTATCCAATATTTTTACGATTCCTTAGCACTTCAGAATTTTGAGCGTAGCTCAAAAACTGTTGAGCTTCAGCATCGGACATATAAAGACTTAAACTTATTGGACCTGGAAAAATAAAAATTCAAATTTTACGTGTTTATAATGTTTACACATGTATGATACATGATACATGTATTACATATGTTAGTCAATTGTAAAATAGTAACAAATATAATATTACCATCCCAATACTCGCATAACATTTCAACCATTTGGAGTCTATCCATCGATAGCTGGGCGACCAGTGTAATGTCACATTCGTCTGGTGATGACTGGTATTCGAAATCTAAAAAATATAAGTGAGTCCTTAGACTAGCCATGCCAGCTCTTCTGAACTCGTAACAAAGATCATCTTCACTAATCTAAACAAAAATGTAGGGGTATAATTATCAATTTTAGACAATTCTATAAAATGGTCCGCGTATATTGTATATGCCCTTCCCAATGAGAGTATAATTGCCAAAAACTCAGCTATTCAATTATTTATTCAATAATAATGACGAAAACTCTACTAATAATAATTGCTAATCATTTAATGTTATAAAACGATAGATTTAAACTTCTAATATATATGTATACGCAATACAGAGTTGTATATATATTATATAAGATATGACTTCACATTAAAATATATATATACAGGTTGTATCATTCACCTGACAGATAAAATAAATTTTATTCCAATCAACTTTTTTAATTTTAGATTCTGAGCGGAGCGATGAATGTATTGATTTTACAATGATATTGTGTGTTTTTATATTATTTTGTCTGTCAGCACCGTTTTAGGAAGTAAAACTGCTTTAATTTTCTTCAACAGCATTTTGTTCGATTGGAAAGTGAATCTAGTTTTGGTGCATTCGGGAGGTCAAAATTTAAAATTCCCAATAGTTTTCAAAAGTGCAGGGAAAACAAAACAAAAATTTAGGAAAAACGGTAATTTTCACGGAAAATTGGTTTTCGACAAAATCGATTTTGGATTTTGGTGTAACTCTAAAACAAAAAAACCGTAAATACATGAAATTTTCATTGAATGTTTAAATTAGCATTTTTTATACTCAATAAAATTTTCAAAATATTTTGATTTGTTTGCGAATGGACATTTTTCAGTTTCCGATTTTTTAAGTGTTTCTTTTCTATATGAATGTCAATAAAATATTAGTATTATTAAAAAAGCTTGAAAATTTAATACAAGGCTCTTAATATATTGTTACAATTACATTTGAAAAAAAATTAAAAATCTAGTTATAATTTTTTTTTTATAAGCATATAAAGTTCAAAGTTTGACAAAACACGTAAAAACACGAAAATGTGTAAATTATTTTTAGTTAGAAATTAGTAACATTTTAAAATGTAATACAAGATTCCTTATAACCTTATCCATCTTAATCAAAAAAAAAAAAGGCTAAAAGACCTATAATATCTATACTCGATTTCTCATGTGGCGATTTTCTTATTTTCTTATAATTCAAAAACGAATAACAGTAGACACTTGAAATGCGTATATCATAATATGTTTATTTGATCAATTCTTATACGTGGCATAATATTGAAAATATTTTGACTTGTTTTTAGCTGTTTTAAGACATTTTAAATTTTCAACTTTTTAGTTTTTTTTTTCTATAAACGTCAATAAAATTTTATTTGTTTAGTCAAAAAGCGTGAATATGTATAATACAAGGCTCCTGATATATTTTTATAATAGTAGTTGAAAAATATTAAAATTATGTATGCACAATTTTCTTTTTATAAGTATTTAGATTTTTATATTTTGTAGTTAAAAATGTATAAAAATTTCAACTTTCATAGCTAAGAATTTAAAATTTACAAAAATGTTCCACTTAACTAGTTTATTATGTAACTAAAAAATCACAAAAATATAAAAACACATATATGGACGATATCTATTACATATGAAATAACCAAAAATGACGATTTTAGTTACCTATTTATTATTGTAATTTTATAATAGGTACCGTATATTAATAATAAGTAATAACAATATAAATATAATATCAAATATCCACACTGACAAACCGTCTCCACTCAGAATTGTTTTTCGTTTACAATAATATTATATCATTGGATTCAAATTCAAATTCATACAAGGTCAATTCATATATACCAGATACCTATATAATTTAGTCACATGCGCTACACGTACATATAATAAAAAAAAAATTATTTTTATGTTTTAATACTGAAAATAAAAAGTTTTAAATTTAATACAGCCAATTTGTAAAACTGATTATAAGAACAATTTTGATGGTATAACCATTTATCTAAGTTAAGTAGTATTTTTTAGAATTTTTAAAATATCAAATATTTTTGAGTAAATTTATTTAGAATGGGTTATACCTAATAACTTTTTACAATATAATACTTTTGGTAATTTCCTGACATGACTATATTTATTAAATTATTTATTAACCATATAATTTTCCCAAATTTTTTCATACGTTGAAGTAGCATCATTTTTTTCAGGTCGGCCTGTTAACCTGTATTATTATTTATTATTATATACCAAAATGAAAATTGAAATGTTATTTAAAATTAATTATTGAAATTATCATATTGAGAGCTGCCGAGAGCGCAGCCATCCAATTTTGGCAACTTGGAAATGTACATATTATGTCATAATATCTATTCAAAGAAAATTATGATTCAAATCTTATATTTAATTGTTTCAGTGCGTAATAATGTTTATCTCTGATAATGTATGAATTTCTGAAATATAAGTATATAATATAATTAGAGGGAGACGGAGTGGCCGAGCCTCCCGAGCGGACTAAGGCATCGGTTGCAATGCTCACAGTCGGCGGTTCGAATCTCGGTCACGGGTGACAGATACCTACGGGTGCCCAAATCAAAAATTCTGCCAAAAACAAACACACACGTTTAAACAAATCTACAGTACCCTCCCCCACAGTACCATAGGCTAACTTAGTAGTTGAAGCCTTAACCCTAATAATAATAATAATAATTTAAAAAAAATATATAATTGGTAATTATTTCCAATCATTATACCGACAATATCCTATAATGTATATAGTCAGTGAATGTATTTAGAATTAAATGTAGTATTGTAGTACCTAAATATGCTATAATATGACATATTGTATAATGTATACTTGTAGGAGTTACCTATAATAATATTTCTTATCATATGACTTTTGGCAATATGAATTATGAGATATTGATATACCTACCTATATCTATTTAGTATTTACTATATAGATAAATAATTATTAGTTCGTATCATTATCATTTATCATATTATAGAATGGTCATTCGTCCTGTATTTTTATACTTATAAGTTTATTTATAAACTTTATAATTTGTATACACGTACAATTATGGTATTTCGAAAGAATTTACTTACTTCCGGTACATCTTGAATAGTAGATGAATAATTACAACCAAATAATTCTCTCTGAAGCAAGTTTCCATCGTACTCCAGGAAAGTAAGATATAAATTTCGAAAAAATTCAACATGTTTGTTTTTAACTTTTAGCTTTTTGGGTGAATTCCAATGAATAATCTGAAATTTAAAGATATTAATTTAAAAGTAGATAAGTAACATGTAGTCAGCATTATATTATACGATAATCAACTGTATAGTTTTTATAATTGTTTTTAGATTATATGCACCCCATGGGCCATGATGGCTTTGGGGCTTTGGGCCATAAAAAACATTATGTAATGAAATAAGATGTATATACTCTCTATAGTATATATTAGTATATATACTTTATGCGATATAAAATATCCACTGAAAGACCAACAGGCCTATGAAACTGAGGGCCAAGGTGCCATACCGCCATGTGGCCCTTTTGTAGGTACCGGGTACCCATAATAATCTGGTCTTATAAATATTATTATTTATTAATAAACAGCTAAATGCCGAGGGAATTTGAATACCATGTCTAAAATCTTAAGCTGACAACTAGAAAACATTAAGAAGTAAAGATATATAATGTTTTATAGTTTATATATGCTATATATGTAGTATATCAAATTACAAGAAATTATTTAATCAAGAAAACTTGAGGATAGATCTAGAAAAATGTATAATTCGATAGTATCATTGTTGCTCTGACAATAATAGTTTTATTAGTGCTTAATGCTCGTACTTAAACCACAATAAATATTCGATAGATTTCACATGAATCAGTAATCGGTATACAAGACAAGTGTTTATATTTAGAAAAAAAAATTGTTAATTTTGTTTTTGGTTACTCCGTGTACATTGTATACATTAATAAGGTGTATCAAGCAACAAGAAACGAACCTTTAGCTCGATAACTTCAGCGTAACACAGTTCACTCCTAGTATTGTCGCTGAGTTGGACATTCCATTGGCATGGCATGGGGTATAGAAGTTCCGGCCGTTCTTTAATAATCGTGTTAAAAATGTCTTGATCAGCCAGACTGGTCCAGTAATGTGTCACTAGAGTTTTTACTGCCACAGATCTCCATAATCCGTTCCATCCAATTAAACGTAATTTTCGTAAGTCCATCAATATCACACCCGTGTTGTAACTATAAACGATAAAACGACAAGCATGTGTGTTATTTTGTTATTTTACCTATTAATATATTATTTATGAGGGGGGGGAGGGCAAAGTAAAATGTCTCTGATAATACTGCTCATATAGGTACTATTTTTTTTACAAAAACAATTAATTATATTATAACTAAAATAGCAGGGTTGCCATAGTTCCCCCAGCACCCCCCTTGCGAATGTTCTTGATATAGATTAATATAGTATAGGTAAAGGTATTATTGTTTTCTTTTTCTATTGCTTACCCTCGGCCGAGCGCAGGCCATGGCTTATGTTTTTTCCATAGTTTGCCAAGATACCAATCGCTTTGATTCTCGACCAACCCTAAAGCCTAAAAAAAAATTTAAAAAAATAGTTTTTATAAGTATTTTATGTATTTATAATATATTTATGTATTTTTAGAATGAGTATATTTAAACATTTAATCTTGATTTTTGAAAACCGTTTTAATAAATTCTTAGTATTACAATATTCTAGGTATATAGTATTATAATACTATTAATACTCCATGTAGGTACATTTAAAATCAACGCTAGGCATGCAACATTTTTATTTTTCATATAGTAAAATGGGTACTTACTTGTCCTTTTTTAAAACTTTTTAACATGGACCACAACTGAGCAATATCCGTTGCGAAAGTAATATCTGTATCCAAAACAAGGACCTGTTTCAACGTGTCTGGAAATACTTGAGTTAAGCATAGTTTCATCAAACCATAGACCCCAGAATAATGCTTATTATTTATCCAAGAAACATCGGATATTATTTTTTCAGCTGGATAAAACTCTATTTCCACTAAAAAGCCATATTTTATTGGAATTATAAATATTTGAGTTGGTAATATTTTTCGTAATAGTAAATAAACTTACATTGGGGTATTTTCCAAGTATCGAACAAAGTTTTTAAAATTTTTCTTGATATAACATCAACGACGAAATGAAATCTTAATGGGTTTTTACGATAAAATAGTATTGATTTGATTAGCGTTACTACTGAACGTGTAGAATTATAACCAGCACACACGATTCCGACTTCAATCACTTCGCATTTATCTATCGTGTCTTTAACCTGAAATGCGTTTTAGGGAATTACTCAAAGTTACTAAATTGTTAATAAACGATTTACAACAAAAAAATTTTTAATCAAGCTAACATCTCATGAGTTAATAGTTATTACATACTTTTTGAGAAGAGCAAGGCGCCGGAGTCTCTGGTAATAACTGTGGTGAATCAGTTGGTGAAACCGGAAACAGTGACGTCTTCATTGCAGCTAATAAATGATTTTGTGTCATACTAAGTTGCCTTCTTAATAATCTCAGCTCTTTTTCCATGGCTTCTGACGTTGATTCATGTTCTTGAACTTCGTAGTTGCTACTTTCCACGTATGTTAAGGCTGGAACTAAAAATATATTGCGAGTTTTAACAATGGTAATGGTAATAATAATAAAGTCTTAAATTCCATTTTTACCTCGTTGGCTTAATACAGCATAGTATATGATTAACGATGCGAATAATGATCCCAACAAAAAACTAGTCAGCCAGTGTCTAACCAAGGCGGTACCAAGGGCACACAAACCATTGCGTCCCCTTCGTCGAGCTATTGCGATAGCCACAATAGACAATTATGGTAAATTTCTAATAAACTTCTGTTGCTGTAATAAATCTGTAAATTTTCAATTCTTAGCTATAAAAGTAGAACATTTTTAACTAAAAAATAATTATTACATTTTGTCAAAATTCGAACTTTAAATGCTTATAAAAAAAATTGTGCCCATGTATTTTCAACATTTTTAAACTGTTATTGTAACAATATATCAGTAGTCTTTTATTAAATTTTCACCCTTTTTGGCCCGGTCAATAAAATTATATTGATATTTATAGGACATAAAACTAAAAAATTGAAATTTTAATTTGTCCGTAAACAGCTCAAAATGAGTCAAAATATTTTCTAAATTGTATGGTGTATAGAAAATGAGATTATAAACATTCAATGAAAGTGTCATGTATCTACAGTAATTCGTTATTGAATTACAACAAAATAAGAAAATCACTGCATGAAATCCCAGCGAAAATGGAAAATCTTGTATTACATTTTCAAATCTTAGATACATTATATGTATACATTGAACATTTTTTATGAATTTATAACTTAAAATAAGTTGCACATTTTCGTCGTATGAATGAATTTTGTCAAAATTCTGACCTCAGAAGGAATAAAAAGTTATTGAAAATTTACGCTCAACCATTTTTTTAGTTTACACCAAAAAACTGTTATGAGAAACTTTGTATTAAGTTTTAAAATGTTCAGAACTAGCAAAAAATTATGTATCGAGAATAATTAAAAAAAACTTTAAAAAAGGCGAAATTTTCCTATGTCTATAAATAGCTTAAGCATAGTCAACAAATTTTGAAAATTGTATACTGTATGGAAAATGCCAATACAAACAGTTGGTGAAAAATTCATCGATCTACGGATATTTATAATTTAGAGTTACGACAAAAAACAAAATCGATTTAGACAACTAAAAATTCCCGATTTTACTTAATTTTTTGTTTGTTTATCTCGATAATTTTGACCACCTTGCCTCCAAAGTACCAACTATATTCACTTTCTCATCAGAAAAGGGACTGAGTAGAAAATCCAGGAATTTCCCCAAAAGGTGACAAAAATAAAATAAAAATAAAAAACACATCATTGTAAAATCAATACATTCATCGCTTTACTCAGAATCTAAAATTTCAAGAAATATATTCTACTAAATCAACAAAAATTAACATTGTAGTAAGTTGTCATTCAAATCAGAATAAAAATATATAAAAACTATAAATAGGTATAAAAAATAGTCAAAGTGTTGTGTTTACTAAATGTTTAGTTTAGTTCACCTAATGGTTTATTTAATTATTTATCAACATTTTTTTATTTTTGAGATATTGAGTATTGTGAACGGTTCTAAACTGTGGCTAGGGGAGAAATCGCGGTGCTATATTATTGCTCCTGAAATTGTAATTTAAATTGAAATGTTTATTACAATTCTCATTTGGGTATATTGTATATAATATATTTATAGTAATCTTATACATAAATACATAATATAATATATTTGTAGCCAATAGACATAATATGATACATTTATAATACCTACTATTTTTTTACTACCTTATATCAGTTAAATCGTAGTATTTATAATTAATATAAAATTGAGGTAATTAATTTAGAAGGTAATAATGATATAATAAGGTAATTCATTTTTATAATCTACACCTACTGTAATATTTATATTTTTTTTTTGTATGAGATTATATGTTTAGCAAAATCAAGGGGAGCGAACGGCAATATTGAAATATTGTAGCCCCACACTCCTCTTGTGGAGCCCAAAATGGGCAATGTATTTTGAAAAAAAATTGCTCCCCTAGAAAAAAAATCTGGACACTCACTTTTTACTTGAGAATAATCACTCTGTATAATTATAGCGGGCGTCTAGTGATACTATAAATTTATTAATCCCATAATATTTCGTATTCGTGAACATTGGAGAACTAACCTATTGTAACATTTAATGCTCATACCTCATGGTCGTATACTCGTATAATAGCAGTGTACAAATTATTTTACATCTGTTATCTACAACATTTGACAAAAAATGATTTAAACAATAACAATTCTAAAATAAAATAAAATAAAATACCTAAATGGCTAAATCATTCGATAAGTGTTGAGAAAACACGCCCTGTGTGCCCGTGTATGAAATAACTATACATTAATATTGTACTATATAATTGATTTTGATACGGATAGCTACGTAAATTATATTATATTATTTATGAATATAATATATAAATAAATTGCACTTAACGAGTATTATACATTTTAATGTATTATATCAATTGTATTTATTTAAAAAGATGTATAGTTGCGCTTTTTTTTATATCTATAGCAGTCCTGTAAAGTATTTGAGTAAAAGTATTCAAATACTTTTTTAAGTATTGAATAACTTTTTAAATACTTTCAGCATGAAGTATTTTGAATGGTATTTTAAATACTTTTTTTTGTATTAAATACTTTTTGGTATTGAATACTTTGGTTTTTTATTTCGAACATTTTATTTTTATTCGAAATAATTTTAGAAATTTTAGAATAAATTAAGAACACAAAATAGGTAGTATCACCAATGGGTGGTTTCTTCCCTCAAAATAAATCATACGCAAATACCCTATGCACATTTGCTTATTGTTCTAGTTAAGAACAGATTGTAAATTTCATGTAAAAATAAAAAAAAATACATTCATCGTTTCACTCAGAATCTAAAAATGTAATAAACATTTATTTAATAAATAATAAATAAAAATGATTATAAATTTATTACCTATGTGTCTATATTACAATAATTAGAAACCCACTTTAAAAACCAAAAGTATTTGAAAAGTTTCCAAATACTTTTTCAAAGTATTTGAGTAGTATATTTGAAATACTTTTTCAAAGTATTTGAGTAGTATTTGAAATACTATACAATTAAAGTATTTGAGTAGTATCTTAAATACTTTAAAAGAAATGTATTTGAGTACTTACTCAAGTACTTTTCAAAAGTATTCTTTACAGGACTGAACTATAGGTACCTATAGTACCTACACTATAACATGTAGTTATGTGTAGAACGAAAATATCTAAAAATCAATACAAATTGTGACTTATTTATTCGGCCACATAAATTATAATATGATGACTAAGTAAAAGTTTAAAATAACACGCAATGTATGAATCATAATGTACATAAAATATCTTCTCTATTATAGGTATACCTAACTCATTATTAAAGTAATATAAAAAAAGTCTACCGCGTATATTATAAACAATGCATATTCACCAATATGATTTACCCACAGTAAATATTTAATATTATAAAGCTAGGTAATAAAAACATTAAATTTTTTATCTTAATAAAATACATTTTTGTTGTTGCTTATTAGTTATATAACTCGTACAAGATACAACCCTTGAAATGATATTAATATAGTCAGTATTATAGATTTTCGTAAAGTAATAGCCACTTATAATATTGGTAGGTACTATTTTTTATTTTAACTTTTAACCTTCGGGGTGCCACCATTAGGTGACTTCCCCTTCTCGCTAATCAACCTACATCCCATTTACTCATTGTACTACATATAATTTCAGATTGTAAATACAATTTTTTTTCAATAAAAAGATATTTAAAAAAAAAAAAAACTTTTAACCGATAAAATTAAAAATAGTGATACATTTTAATAATATATCAGTGCAAAATTTTTTCTTAATTTTAATATTTTGGAACTACGAGTATAGGTATGCTCTAGGCAGTCGGGTGTGCTAAAACTGTGCGGTTCCATTTTCCTTCAAAAACGAGATACTGTTTTCCTCCACTGTCCATTTCCTCCACAAAAAAAAGGTTGGTTTCCATTTTCCTCCACATTATTTTAGACTGAAATTATGTCTATTTTCCTTGAATATTTTAGCCAGTGTTACGATTGTAATTATAACGGAAAGCGATTATTAAAAATAATTAAATACCGCAAAACAAAACATAATGCGATCATCAAAATATATTATTTATTAGGTATATTATCATATATGATATATCATTAAACAAAACATAACGCAAAACGTAATTTATAGAATATCATTAACCGAAAAATAACGCAAAACGAAATATTTTTAAATCCATTTATTTAAAAGGTCTATTGGTTTCGTAGAAACATTTATTTCATGCGAAAATCTAATTGATTATATTATATTTCGTATCCGGGCCATTACCTACCCGAATGACGAATTAGTTATTATTTTTTAAATTGTATAGGTTAAACACTATTAGGTATTACGTTTAACACTACCTATTTTAAATAACGATAAACGCAAAACTAACGTTTTAATTCTAAATAACGATGAACGCAAAAAAAATGCGTAGTGTTTTAATTGTAAATAATAAATAACATAAAAAAGAACTTTTTTTTTCAAATGCAAGCCCTGCTACTTGCTAGGATCACATTTTCTGTTGGTACATTCTGGTATCGGCTATATCTATATCAGCAGTCGATTAAGTCTAATAAAGAATATTTTTTATTTTTTTGATATGCATAAATAATTTATATAACTACTTTATTATTTTATTTATTATTTATTAGAGGAAAATGGACACTGGAGTAAAACGGTATCTCGTTTTGGAGGAAAATGGCTACGGCCCTAAAACCTAACCATAGGCGGAAATCCATTGAAAAAGTTGGGGGACTACGATTTTTCTCATAAACCAAAGCCATGGAGGGCTACGCCCCCCACACCCCCTCATAATTTATTCTAAAC